TACAGATACGCTCTCAGATAAGGAAAAGCAACACTCTTATTAAAATTTAGAAAGTGGATTTCTTCAGACTTCACCACTGCACAATGTATCCATATAACAAAGCTGCACTTGTACCCCCAAATTTATACAAACAAAATGAAAATGGATTTCTTCTTATCACTTGGTAATTCCTTTGAGTATCTAATAATTTATACAATATCTGCTTGACACAGCATTTTCTTGGAAAATAAAATTTTATTAACGGATATAAAGCACTGTATCTTAACATCTATCTAAAAATAATTTACATGAAAAAGTAATACTATTTCTTGTTTATGAATTTCAAGCTCTCTTTTTTTAAATCCCCATCAGCATGTGTCATGAAGTTGAGGCAATTTTGCCATTATTTCTCAAACACTTGACTAGCTTCAAGCAGGCTTCTATCTACACATAAAAAGTAGTGTTAAAAAAATACTTTCAAGTAGGTCATATTTAAAGTAGTTGGAACTATTTGCTAAAAATTCAAATAAAAGCATTCTTCTATTTTAACATTTGTATCTAACTTCAGCCATGTTGTCAGGAAATTCTTCTCTGGAAAGTTAAGACCATTTTACCTGAATCAAGAGCCCTTCACTTCCCAAAAATCTTACATGAACTATAAAACCAGTATTAAAAAACCTTGAAATTTCACACACATGTGTGAAATTCAGACATGAGAAGAAACAGTCTTTGTCAGCAAGAGGTTTCTATTTGTTCCAAAAATTAAAAAAAAAAAAAAAAAAAAAAAACAGAATAGAACTTAGTCTTGTATGGTTAATCGTAGTTCCTTAATTAGTATGCCAAGTAAGCCATTTTTCCCCACTGGTAATTGATAATGGGAAAGTTCAAAGTCAGAAATACAGAAATTATCTGCTTATATTAAAAATAATTACAGTGTTCAGTTTAAATTATGGATTCAAAGTCTCACTGTGATTTATTGAGACCACTACTTGTCAGCTTCAATTAAGAATGCTATTAGTGACCCAAGTTTGATGCTTATATTTTGAAATTTTCCTAGTTAAAATAAAATTACAATCCTATTTCTTTATAAATGTTTTTCACTGAGGATAAATTGTATAATAACTTAATTTCCAAAATAGCTTCCCTAAACTTATTCTTCACAAATACCTGCATCTTAATTTCAACTTTTTGGCTCAACAAGAACTGAGTAAAGTTTTCCACAGATGTCTATATCTTAAGCTATCTAGAAATCTATGGAAGAGACTAACATGGTAGCAATAGCTGTGATGGTTATAATCAGAGTAGCAGATTCTGGTATAGGTTTTACATGATCTATACACTGGTAACAAATGTCCACAGGGCACTCTGTAAAGCAGGCCGGCAGAATTGCAGGCTTATGGGCTGCAGGGGTAGGTTTTTGCAACGTGAAATTAGTGTCAAAAGGTAAGGCATCTTGTAATCTGTGCATTTGTCCTACAAATGTGTGGTAAGTGCACGCAGCAGCATTTCAGAGGAAACCAAGCAGGGCCTGGATAATTATTGCAAAGTAAACCATAAAACAGTTTTCTAAAATGACCTTGAAGGGAGTGGTCAGTTCACTGAAAGAACATGTGGTAGGCTCAGCCTTCTGCTGAATCACCTATATTGAAAAATGGAAATCTCACAATACAACTTTAAGTCTGGTTCTTCATTATTGTTCATGCCACTAGGTAAGCATCTAACATTTCCAATTAAGCCACTGCACAGTGGCAATGATTTTAGTATTGTTATTTCCACTGTTAAGAAATAATGCATATTACTTCATCATTCTGAAAGCATTCTGTACTAGGATAGCGTAAGAGTTTAGTTTTGTAAACACAAGTTATTGTAAGATACAATTTTTCTTCACTAATTTTTAATATATCCTGGAAAATGCACTAGATTTCTATCTTACTTGAATCTACTCTAGTTCACTGATATATTTTTATTCACTTCCACATTATTCTTTAGCAGTAAACATCTCATTTTGGAATAGTTTTAGATTTAAAAAAATACGGCAAAGATAATACTGACTTTCTATATCGCCTCTACCTAGTTTCCCCAATTAGTAATTTGTCAAAGTTTTACTAATCATAATTTATTAAGTTTTCCTTAGTTTTACTTCATGTCCTTTTTTAGTTTCAAGATCCCATCCAAGATACCACATTACATTTATTCACCATGCCTTCTTAGCTCCCTCTTGTTTGGGACAGTTTCCCAGGCTTTCCTTGTTTGTGATGACCTTGAAAGTTCTGAGGAATATTCTATCAACATGATTTGTCATTGTCGCTGTTCGCCTTGGTCACCTGGCTGAAGTCGTGTCTGTTAGTTTTCTCCCCCTAAAGTTGTTTTCTACCACCTCCTTCTGTACAATTCTCCTAGGGAGGAAGTCACCATGAACAGCCCCCACTTAAGGCACAGGGAGTCATGTTTCACCTTACACAAATTATTTGTAATTTTCTGAACATGGTATTTGTCTATATTCTCCTATGTATTTATTCATCAACCATTGCTAAAGCATGGACTCAGAAATATTCATTTATAAATTGGGTTATAATCCTTTGCTACTTGATTGCTCAAATTGTTCCATCTTTGGCCACTGGGAACTCCCGTATCCCTTTGACATAAAGCAGCATTTTGTGATACTTCCTTACTTTCTGGCACTACAAGATGCTCTCAGCTCCTCTTGTGTATTTTATGCCCCAGTCCTAGAATCAGCCATTTCTCCAAGAATTCCTGGTGCCTGTTACTAAAAACCAGGAAAAGATCTGGATGCTTGGTGTACTTGGGAGTTTTATTTTAAAATCCTCCATCTTTATGGCGTTTAAATAAAAATTTAAATGCTTTGGTTAAGCCAACCCAGTGGGGAGAATGTTTTGTTTGCACTGAGCCTTGTGTAAAGATGAGGTGCTCTGACTCTAGCACCTGGTGTGTGGGGGGGGGGGCACTGCTCTTACACTTACTGTCTTGAACACCCTGGTCCTCTGTTGTGCATAGATCAACAAAGTTCAACAAATCATACTTCAGAATTTCTAGATACCATATAAACACAAGTACTGCTGAATTTTAGTTATGTATACATGAGTTTTTGAATTAATATATCAATATCAATATGTTATAGAGACTGGCATTTATAAACCAAAAACTTGAGATGATGGGAACATAGAACTCAAATGTACTATTCAAATAATACACCTTTTCCATTAAAATGCTCTAAGTATCAGAACGTAAGTCAGAGCTTTGCTTTCCATTGGGCCATTGGTATGTGTTCTGCGATGTGTGAGGGAGAGGACATTCAGGTGATACCAGGATAAGAGTCAGAGGCAGAGAAGAGTCATGGAGCAGCAAAGATATTTAGACAAAATTTTAGGAATATATATTTTCTCCAACTTCCTAGAATATAGAATTTAAAAAGCTATAGTCTTGTAAGCTTTATAACATGCTCAAGCCTAGTTTAAAACCAATAGAAAGTTAAATGGATAGTAAATTATACTGATGTAAATCAGCAAAGCCATCTGCATAAATATATAAAATTGCATTAAATGTTTTTCAACTCTAATATGGGATTCAAGATTGTAATCAGATTGAAAGAAGCAATATACTGAATAAGTTATTAACTAAACATGAATTTTAGGTTAATATCTTTCCAAACACAATATAAATAAGATTTTCACGTAAAGAAATATAACTAAATATTGTTTTCTTCCAAATTAATGGGCTCCATTATTTCCTACACATTCACAATACTACTCACTACAATTTGAAAATGTAAAGTAATAGGAAAAATTAGAAATTTAAATCGGAAACATTACCTTTTACTTTTTTTTTAAATACTTGTTTTAATACAAGAGATTAAGAGCCCCAAGAAAAATAAAGTGGTTTAACAGCTTCAAGATAGCAGACAGGAAGGCAGAAAAATAATTGGATAATAATATATTATACCAGCAAGGTTGGGAAAGGGTGTATTACAAAATGGGAATTTATATCAATTAACAGGCTTCTGTGCAACTCCAAAATGTCAATTTTAAATGATGAAATGAGGTTAGATGGCAAGTGAAAAGAAATATGCCAGGACAGATGCATAAAGACATGCCAGAAAAGAGGAACAAGAGATAAATTCCGGTTCAGTTTAGCCATACTAAGAAAAGGTAGGTGAGGAGATGTGAGCAATCTCAGTTAGGTAAAGAGATAATATCAGTTTTAGAATAATATAACCTGGTATTAATAATAACCATAAACAAACTATACAAAACTAGAAGCACCATTTTCCTTTTAAAAAATACTGAACAAAATTTCTCTTAAAGACCTAATCATTAATTTAAGTTCACATCTTGCAAACCTTTAGTACTTTTTGCTAACATCCATTATAAAACGAATGTACTGTTTCATTGAGCAAAATCTTTAAAAAGCGATAAGCCAACTTATATATTACACACCACAGAGATTCCAACATGAAAAATACTGCAAGTTCAAACTATAAACTGCTTTGTGTCTCAATAATGTCAGAGTGCTTTATGAACTGGGATGCTAAAATTCAATCTGAAACGTATTTACTTGCAGTACTGAGAATCCATGAAAGCAGCAAATTGCTCAAAGTCTGTTTTGCAGTGTATGAGGACTTGAGCTGTGCTCTGCCACACTTTTGCACAGCACCCTGATTCCTGCCCTTCCAAATGCCTAGAGACACATGGTGCAAGAACCAGAATATTGGTCATGCACTCACCCGAACAACACCTGCCAGGTAGTGTTTACTTAATTCTCAAAGCTTGAATGGAAACCCCAACATGCAGACCACCTGAGAACCAAATCCAGACACAGACATGTAACAACAAGCAGCCACACATCTGTAGAAATCAGTCCATTGAGCTTCTGAATGAAGTCTCCTACAGCACATTCTCATTACAGTAGGCCATCCTGTTCAATAGTGTATCTTAATCCGTCTGGGCCACTGTCTCAAAAGCAGCTCAGTTTCCTCAAGGGCTAGAATGCCAATAACCACTTACCCGATTCGCAGGCAAATGTCTTCGATGTTTCATCGTGAAAGATAATTGCCACTGCATGCTTTTTTGTCTCTCGGGGCAGTCTGGTTATATTTTTGATATTGTGCAGTTCAGTTACCTTGAAAGAAAAAAATATTTTAAACTTAGTGTAAAGTATGTATGCTCTATGTTGGAGTGCTGAAACAAAATGATAAGTTATCACAGTCTTACATGAACTTCCACTGGATATTTGTCCTCATTTTGAATTGACTTCAGCCAAAACCAGTAAAGAACAAAACAAAATGTCTTCTATTATGCTCTTAACTTTGGTCACAGACTATATTGTTTGGAGCATTTTGAAATGGACTACACATTATGTAGAAGGGTTCCACGGACTTTGTGCTTTTGTTAAAGGTATATGCCTGGCAAATAATAGCAGTTGTGGTATACAGAAGATTCTCATTAAGCATGTGCTGAATATTGATTGTATTTAACATGTCCCCTCTTTTAATTCTCACCTATCATGCAAGTGTCCAGTAGGACTGTGGTCCTGAGGCAACTGACACACGCCTGTCAGCAAACAGAACGGAGAGCAGCTCCACTGCCCCGAAGTTACACTTTAGAGCAATGGACTTGCTCTCCAGAAAAATGCTTATAGTGTTCACACACCCGTATACCACTTCTCCCACCAAAGGCTATCCAAGATTTATGCACCCAGGTTAATGACTCTTTATTTTATTGGGTAATTAATAAATATTAGTAACCTTATGTATTTTGGATGTTGACTCTCTATTGGTACAAGTTCTTCTGCTACAACTTGTGCACCTTTAATTTTCCCCCACAGTCAACAGAAAGAAATGTGTATTTCCTCAACAACTCTGCAAACACAACACTGCAATAATATTCAATTAGTTAGTTTTAAAAAATATTTTTGATGTGCTGAATTTTTTCTTTTTATATGATTACTTATTTCTGGACTCATATTGTTAACAGAAACGAGAAGGGATTAACTAGCATAATAAACAGCAAATTAATATCCTTTTTAAATGGCAACCAATGATATTACACCTATAATTACATGATATCTTACAATAAATTTATTACCTTTTGACTATTCTTTAATTTCTCCTCTCCAAATGTAAAATTTTCACAGGATATAACTAGCTTTCAAGGCTATTTTGCTGGTTAATATTTTTATAAACATAACTAAACACAGGCATATTTACATATTTGGATATTATATAATAAATAATATATAATACAAATGTAACAAATATATTTATGTAATATTCCTTAGGATGTATTTTCCTAAGGAAATAATACTTTATTATCGTTAACATTAAATGTGGTAAGTACTTAGCAAGCATTTATATCGGTATTTAACATTACACTGTGTAAACTAGACTAATATCCTCAATAAAAACACAAAAACACCCTAAAAATCACAGGCAAGGAATCTATAATGTGGATGGAGATAAGCAAGTGCATCTGTGGAAATGGAGACTACAGAGAATTATCTGAAAGTTACTTGTGAAGGAAAATCACTCAATTCATCAGGTATTTTTTAAAGTTACAGTTGTTCATTATTTGTGATTTCTATATTTGTGAATCCACCTACTTGCAAAAATTTATTTACAATCCCAAAATAAATACTCATAGCACATCTGTGGTCATTTGTAGACACGTGTGTGTGCAGAGAGGGTGGGTTTTGACAGTGTACTGTTCACTGTGAAGACTATGAGACATTTATGAAGTGATTATTCCTTCCATAGCCTATGGGAGAAGAAAAGACTGAAGAATAGGGTTTATTCTCTTGGAGTATATGTGTGAGAGGGAGGGCATATTTAGAAACTTTAGAAATTATAAATAGAAGAACAAATATCAGAGAGGAACTCTGCTTCAATTGTAGTTCAAAAAGGCTAATTAGATTTTACTTGTTCTGCCATTACTACCATTTAAGTTGAGGTATATGTTATGGGCTTAAGGACATAGTGATATTTTCTACAGTTAAGCCCAAGTTTTTCAGTTATTTTATTTGCATGCTTAGTAACATTTGGAATATATAAATTATATTTAACTGTGCAATTTAAAAGCATCATGCTATTTATTTTATGCATCTTTTCTTTTAGCCTAACTATGCAAACTGAGTGGAATATTACCACTCAATGAAGCTCTTACTCAAAGTTGCATTTACACTATTTACTACAAACATAAATAGGCAAAACCCCACATTTACTATAATTATTATTAGGTTTAATGTGCCTCTTTTCAGCTTGCATCACAACTGAGATTAGATTGTCTGTCCATTAAAACACTAACATTCTTTTTTAAGCCCATCTTTTGAAAAGTGAAATTATTTTCTAGATTTTTTCAAGTAGATTCAAATGAATTAGAACATAAATTTTACTATTCTTTCATACTAATCTAATAATTCTTATTGATTCTGGTGCTTTGCTAATCTTCTATGGTTGTTTTAATTAAGTCAAAGATTTTACTTTTGAGAGTAAAATAGTACCTTTTAGGAGCAAATTTAATAACACTTCACTTTATTAGGATGGAAAATATTTATTTTCGAGTTAAGAAAAGAAAATAAATATTTTACTGCATTTTCCACTATTACAATAAATACTGGTTAATCTCTCTATGTTTGAGTCCTTCACTTTCATAATAATAATTTAAATATTTGTATTACCTTATACATTATATACTTCAATATCTGGATGATGAAATTTGCATAGAAATTTTACTATTGCTTTTTTTCAACTAAATTCACATCAATTTTCCAGTAGCTGCTTCCTCATATTTGCCTCTTGTTACTGATAGAAATGAAGGTATACAATGGAAGAAATCAATTTAATTCATTCTTTAAGCTACCTGTGGCAGACATGTGCTCTGACACAATTCTCCCATGGCCCACACATTACTATTCCATATGTTCATTATTAATAATTACAAGCCTCGTCTTTTACATCTTCAGCATAAACCGCATTATAAAATGCATCATCTAAAAATGAGTAATTATGGATATAATTATATTAAAATTGGAATTTACTGTAATACTCCACTGTCTACTCAGCATCCAGCTCCAGTTCCTTCATTCTTACCAGAATCTGATTTGGTTCCGTTATCTGCCCCTCCAAAAAGCAGCCTGTATGTCCTGCTGGGAGTCTCTCAGCCCTAATATCTAGGTACAACTCATTATTCCAAGAGTAAAGTCTCCTTGCTTGTGATTAGTTTAGAAAAGGGAATATGGGCCGGGCACGGTGGCTCATGACTGTAATCCCAGCAGTTTGGGAGCCCGAGGTTGGATCATGAGGTCAAGAGATTGAGACCATCCTGGCCAACATGGTGAAACCCCATCTTTACTAAGAATACAAAAATCTTCTGGGTGTGGTGGCATGCACCTGTAGTCCCAGCCACTTGGGAGGCTGCGGCAGGAGAATCGCTGAACCTGGGAGGTGCAGGAGAATCGCTGAACCTGGGAGGTGGAGGTGGCAGTGAGCCAAGATTGCGCCACTAGACTCCAGCCTGGCAAAAGAGCAAGACTCTGTCTCAAAAAAAAACAAAAACAAAAACAAAACAAAACAAAACAAAAAACAAAAAAACAAACAAACAAAAAAAAACAAGTGTGGTTAATGTGATACGAATAGAAGTCTCCTAGTGGCTTCTGATACATGCTTTCTGATCTGATGGTGGTTTCATGATAAAAACCAGCCTTTTTCTCTAGTGGTGCTGCCCTGTCTGAATGTCAGAACTAAGAAATTCTGCAGCTGCTGTTTTCCGAGGCAATCCTAAGAATGGAAGAACACAGATAGAAGAAAAAAAGTACATCTCCTTAATTGTAATTGTTTAGCAAGAGTTACTGAATCAAGCAACCTTGAAGCCACTTTCTTTTTCTGCTGTAAAATGTAATAATGCACGTTTGAAACTTGTTTAAGTTGGGTTTCTGTTATTTGCACCCTCCAAAATTTCTAACTGATAAAGCAAACTGAGAGCAGACCTTGCCTCATTTTACAAATGGCAAAATGGCTATCCTAATTTGGCTTTCTACCGCATAGTTTGTCAGAGAGAGAATAAGGATCAAATTTCTTAGTTCTCAGGCTAGTACACTTTCCACCAATTCATGCAATAGCTGTTACTCTGAAAGTCATATGTTTTACCAATGGCAAGTATCAGCTAAACAAGAAGTTATTACAGGGAAAAACTCAACTACAAAAGTTACTCAAATTGCAGGGATGATGATAAGAAGCCAAGAAAAGCCTCATCACTTTATTATGCCTAACTTATTTTGAGATTGTCTATTATAAAACAGAGAATCTATATTCAAGTCTGAGAAATGCAGAAAATCAGTATATAGAAGTATAGGCAGTAAAGCAGAAAATCTTTGCACTTCTCCTCTGTGTGTGTGTGTGTGTGTGTGTGTGTGTGTGTGTGTGTGTGTGTTTAAATTTAGCATGTCTAATAATATGCTCCACTTACTCCAAAAACAAAAATTCACAAAACCACTCAGTCAGTTACAACATCACTCTTACTCTAAGAGCTGCAATTTTACTATACAAATATTATCAGATACTATACAGCTACTATGGCTTTACTTAGGAGATGAACAAACTTAAATCTCTTGATTATTGTAATGCGTTGCCCAGGAGCCCCTAAGAAGGTATGTCCAATCCTAATCCCTAGAACCTGTGTATGTGCCCTTATTTGGAAAAAGGGTCTTTGTAGATATAACTAAGAACCTTGAGGGGACATCATTCTGAATTTAGTGTATGCCTTAAATTTAATGACAGGTATCTTTATAAGAGAAGAGCAGAGGGAGATTTGAGACAAAGACTCAGACAGATGGCCCTGAGAATATGGAGGCCAAGATAGAAGTTACGCTGCGCTAACCAAGGAAGATCTGGAACCACCAGGTGCTGAAAAAGGAAAGCAAGGACACTCCCTCAGAAGCTTTGGGAGAGTGTGGCCCTGCAGACACCTTGATTTGTGACTTTTGGCACCGAACTGTAGGGGAATAAATTTCTGTGGTTTTAAGCGACCAAGTTTTTGGTACTTGTGTGGCCAGCCCCAATTGATACAATGACACAGGATTATAAAAAGATAAGCAGTACTATCTGTATTAGAGTCAGTTATTACATG